AAAAAAAAAAAAAAAAAATCAAAAAATTCCGAAAAAAAAACAATGTTATGGAGAAATATAAACTAAAACAACATTTGCCTGGGCACTACATCCAAATTCTTTACCAAATTTGAATTAAAAATCAAATACAGAAAATAAACATTATGATAAAAATAAGAAAAAATAAAAAGAGAATTAAAACGAGTGAGTGTGCCAGCACCTTTTCGACACCGCCATCTTTGCCGATTTTTTAATTATTTTTTGGCATTGACAAATGCCCTGAAAATTTACAGGTATGTAGTTTACATAATCAATAACTCATAAAAAGGTTTTCAAAAAATAATAAATTTTTTTAGGCCCCGAAATAAAGTGAAAGCAAAAAGTTAAAAGTGAAAAAAAACAAAATAGTGAGTGGGCGAGCACGTTTTGACACCCCCATCTTTGACGATTTTTAATGTTATTTTGGCTTAGCAGAATGGCTTCAAAATTTATAGGCGTGTAGGTTACATCATAGATAACTCACAAAAAAAAATTTAGAAAAAAAACTTATTTTTTGTCACCGAATGTTTTTTTGGAGGGGGCCGAACCTGGAGGTGTTTGGCCTCCGAACGGGACCCCGAACGCCCGAGCGTTCGGGGGCCAGCCCGGGGGCCCCCGAACGTTCGGTCAGGTAACCATGTGTATATGTTTATTTTATTTTATTTTTTTCATGGGAGCCAAGTCTTGACACTCATGCACCGGAATTAGACATCTATTAACAGAGTTGATAATTTATAACCCCCCCCCTCACTTGTCAAAACAAAATTTATTTCCTCTCCATGTGCATTTTTAACGCTCTAGCTACAACTGTGAAAGTGAGGATGCGTATTTTTTTGTTAGAAAGATAAGACTCTCGTTATACTCATTCTTACCATTTTATTTTTCACGCTACAGTTCCACAACAACGAAAGAAACTCGTCATCGGACATCGCTTATGTCTTTCTCTCAACATTTTTGTGATCCACAAAGGAATGCCGTGAAAAATGTCATGGGTCACTACAGTGGGCCACCATGCTACCAACGGGAGCCGTTTGCCACAAAAGATCCACGAACTTGTAAAACATGTCGACACCCACGTTGGCAAACGATTCGAAACATGCGTCCGCTCCGTCTAAACGATTGGCCGCACCAATTCACCCTCTTCATAAAGTGGTTCCAACTTGTGTGTAAGTTTAAACCATGATAAAAATTTCCCACATTTGTTTTGTTGTAGGAGTCCGATGTCTCAAGAAGCCCATCCAAATGAAGAATTAGTCTTAAGGTGGACGCACGTAGACGCCACTCTCGTGAATGGGGTTCTCGCCGCAAGAAGTGCAGACCCGAGGTAGACAAAAGAGAAGGGGTGACGTTTAGGTATCAACGGTCAATATAGGGTTGAAATGAATATTTGTGGCGGCGCAACTTGTCAAGTCAAAACCAAGATGGTTCGACTACTTTGTCGGCTATCTTATAAAGTCCAACCTCGCAATGCCTCGATTTATCGTATTTAAATTTGCGATATTCGACCTGTGTTATTTTGATTTTGCATTCTACTTTATGATATTTAAAAACTTATAGTTATCATTTCAAATCTCGCATCGAAAGGAGTTCACATCTATTCGGTTTTTCATACGGGTTATCTTTTATTGCAGATGGTTTCCTATCGGCTACGGTCGAACCGATTGATGAAGTTGGGTTCAAGTATGGTGATAATTTCCTCTCTAAGTAATAAGTAAGAGGAACTATGATTATTTATAAGTTTCACACTTTCTTGAGACCGTCTTAGTCGACGGACATCAGTTCGTACTTAGGAGATCAATGCCCTAGGAAACGAATGACATTCATGTTCATACGACGTTCTAACCAAGCGTACCTATACTTCAGTGAACGAGCAAATGCCCCACGATTGACCTAGCTCGACAACAACGTCTAAAGACTTTTGCACGTGGGGTCAGTAGCTCGGAAAGGATACATCCCTAAGGGTGGTGATAACCCCTTAGGGAATGTAAGTTGTGCCTTGCGAGAACTATCATGTTGTAGGGGACCGAAAGAAGTATGACTGACGCGCCCCACTAGAGTGGCCAGGTGATAACGCAACCGCGTTTTCCTCGATGGTTCGTGATGATACTTACTCGTTGTCCCAATTTGTCTCTCGTTTTGTTTTCTCTAACTCCTACGTGATATGGTCGGATGGACTCTCATCTTTTGTGAAAAATGCGGCAGCTGATCTGCTCGACAACGACTCACATCCGAAGAGAAAAACTCATACATGATTTCAAATTGTTGAATGCATAAAGATGAACCAGAAGTGTATATATAAAGGAAATATGGATCCGCCATTACCGTAAAATTGTTTGAAGATTTTGTTTGATCAACATCCTCATCAATAGGAGTGTCGTAGCGATGGAAACCCAAGTTTGCAGTCACGGCAATAGAGAGAGGTTACGATGGACGGTTTTAGCTATTGACATGAGCCTTGTCCGATGATTGGGTTCGACTATCTAGTTACCAGAAGTCCATCTTGTTTTGAAAAAGGTATTTAGACTTCTCTTTTATGATAAGGAAATAATGTAAATGTTCATGCTTTCTGTGTGTGTAGTACAAATTATCAATTTACTGTATTGATGGAAATATTGTGATTAACGGAGATGGTGTAAAAAATATTGCAAGAGTAGTTATTAAATTAATATCCCTCGAAACGAAAATATTACTAATGTGGTTCGCTTGGTTGTTGGAACAATTCCCCTCACAAGGGTAATTATTCACAAAATGGTAATTGTTCGCATTTTGATATGTCGAACGAGGACCAAGCAGGGGACTACTTACACGCCCTTAGACGGTGTAGTGGCGATAAACTCGGAGTCGGTCAGGGTTGATCATTGCCCCATTAAAGTTTTTTCAACACATTTGTACAACATGCCACACTCGCGAGTGCCCCTAGTGAGCATAACAATAGAACGAAAAACCAAAGAGGCTGAAAATGAAAAAGTAAAAAGAGAAACTGAAATTATACTGAAATAGTTAAACGAAGGCTCCCATATTACAATGATATAGAGATTCTAACAAACTGTACCTCTTCATACACATGTTGAATTCGAATGCAACCAAACTCATATTTCGAGCAGACCTCTTCATTACTTTCCTTCACCCGTGAACTGAGGTACGACCAACCAAGGGATTCAAGATTGTCGACCTTCTTTCTGTTGTTCGATGAGAACAATCGGGCGATATGTTGCACTATCTAAGTTAACTTCCCCATTTATAAGGCAGTGTGACTTTATCTTGTCAAAGGATGCATGCTTTACAACAACCCGACCGAATGACTGGGGCCTGCAATAATTTTACCCTATCTTTGAACGAACCTTACGACAATCGTGTTAGTAATGCTATTCTTCAACCTCGTAAACACTCTTTACGATCCAACGGACCCCTCGACCTTCGCAATCGAGTGTTTTTTCACCGCACATCAGGAGAACGTTTGCGAGACAAATGTACTCGTTTATTCGCCCTAGTCACTATGAACAGGGCGATCCACATGTAGAGGTGCGTTCTCCTAGCAGGGCAACCTACTATTACAATGGCATGACCACACCTTGTGTGATTTGCATAAGCTTGAACGAATACCTTTGTAAGGATACTAGCTCCAACATCGTAATGATAGGGTCACTGAAGGTAGACACAAACTTTGCACAATATCCTTTCCGGCGTGGTTGTAAAATACCAACAACAACAAGATCTTTTTTAGCGCAATGATATAGTTAGTGAAGATAAGCATAAACTCTACAAAGTAGCAACTCCCCTGCTCAAGATAATGACTACATATTATGAGAATATTAAAAATACGCCTTAAGGTTGGATGAAAATCACTTTGAAAATAACAATTGTTGCAATACATACCAACTTAAGTTGGACAATAACACATATTAACAACAACTATCTACAACAAATGACTTCAAATCAAATTAGCAGTCTTGTTTACAAGAAATAACCTTGGAAAATCAAATAATAGTTTTGGCCAGGGTTGCCGGCGTTCGGGACAGGCCGAATTCCCGAACCCGAACGCCCGAACGTTCGAGACCCCCTCTCGACGCGTACGAGCGTTCCACCGAACGCGGAAAAAAAAAAAAAACCAAAAAAATTGAGAAAATAAATATATTATGCAGAAGAATAAACTGAACAACATTTGTCCCAACGGTACATCCAAATTCTTTACCAAATTTGACATACAAATCAAATATAAAAAATAAATAATATAATTAAAAAAAAAAAAAAAAAAACAA